AGAAGATGGAGACTCCCTTTTTACAAGGAGTCACATGGAAAAGACCAGGGGTAATGGATACAAGTTATGCCTGGGGAGATTCCAACTGGACACAAGAGGAAGATTTTTCACAATGAGAACAATCAGCCATTGGAATAATCTCCCCAGGGAAGTGGTGGATTCCGCAACACTGGACACTTTTAAGATTCAGCTGGACAGGGTGCTGGGCCATCTTGTCTACACTGTGCTTTTGCCAAGAAAGGTTGGACCAGATGATCCTTGAGGCCCCTTCCAACCTGGTATTCTATGATTCTGTGATGGAGAAACTAAATTAGCTGCTGTTTGCTTACAGCTGAGGATACATGAAGATTTGCTGCCACCTATATATTGCTTTTTTTTCTGGATTAATTAAAAGTAAAGGAATTAAAAAAAAAAAAAGGCATATCGATTGCATTCACAATTACATCTGAGTAGGTTTGTAAACTCTACAGCATATTATACTTTCTTTATGGAATAACTCCTAGTGACATAGAAAAGAATACAATCATGTCATAAAGAGCTATCATTGACCCAAGAGAACAAAAATTTCTGTTCCCCCTGTAATACAAGGAAGAAGATAATCCTTTTGTTCTAATTCTTTGCAATCATTATTCTCCCTTTTCTGGGGAAGAATTCAGACACTGTATTACCAGGAACTACGTAAATAAATGAAGCTGCAGGTGAACAAATTGTTCTTCACGTCTATCTTTCTGTGATTAAAGGAATGAAGTGCCCTCACTATGTAATGACAGTATGTCTGCAAGGGGATCAACATTAAGTCTGGAGTATACCGAAAACACAACAAGCGATTTTCTATTAAAAGTCAGTATTTTATTACAGTTATGAGCAATTAGGTAATAACTGCAGTTAAGCACTGGCCTTTTAAACCATCACTAGAGTTACCTGAATTTGAAAGCAGATGGTCTCAGCAATAGTTCAACAAACAAGCAAAGACTACATCTGTATCATTAGTCTCCATTTGATTGATTCACTAACTTGATTCCATTTTTCTAAAAAGAAACAAGGAATTGCAGCAATAGCAATGCAAATAAATGAATTTGCATTTTTTTTTCCTATCTGTGGTAGGTGTGTTGGTCTGTCATTTTGGAAAACTTACTGCTCACTCTTGAATTACACAGCTCTCTTTACAGGTAAGCATTTAATTTGGGTCATCACAGAAATCCAAATGCCTCCTCACTGTCAAGATAGCAAATAGTACCTATTTGGACAAAGACAGAAGCTCCATTTCTTACTGAGGACAAACTTTTTTTTGTGAAATATGGTACTTGGAGGTCTAACTTCATGTTGATATTATAAGATTGAAGTAGCAAGTCACAAATCTGGCCTCTTGACACAGTTACCCTGCTGCACACACTTCATGCAGTAGCTAAGAATTAGATAGTTAATGAAAAAAAAGCATGATCATTTCTTTCATTAAAATGTGTGAGTCAAAATACTGTGGATCTGTATTTCCCCAAGATATTTTTATAGCTAGGTATTTCTGCCCACTCAGTTTGTAAGCATTTATTCGATAACATTCAGCTTGTCTTTTGAAGCATGGCAGTGGTTTTGCTTGATTTTTTCCTCACAGGTAGACAATGGATGCCTGTAGCCTGTATGCAACAAAAGCATTTTTTGCATATGAGAAGAGAGAATGAAAAAGTGCAGCAAATGGAAGGAAAAATAAGATTTGTATGTCTTTAGTTTTCTATGGGAAACAAAACCAGAATTGCAGATGCCTGTGAATGAACTAGCTGTGGTTAATCCTACAGAGATTTTCAACTACTTATCTAAATACTTAGATTAGTATTTATGTCAGGAGCATCAGGTAGCAGTAACAGAGAATGCAAGAGAATCCAGACAAATATCCACTCCTACATTGTAATTTTTCATGCCTCAAGTGCCTCAAAATGCTCAAGCACTCTGGCCAAATGTTGAAAGGCTCTCAAACACTGCAGGATTTGGCCAAGGGGATATAAAAGTCTTGCAAGAGCCAGGCCTTATATTGTAATGGTTGATGTTTATCTGTAGTCTCACTTCCACTCTCTGTTACTTTCATTTAACTTCAGGAGTATCAGCAGTCCTGCTGATTTCAGTGTGAGTTTTCAGGAGCTCAGAGCTCAGCATGAATTCAAATGCTTTACTGGCTTTAACTCAAATCATCTGGCAGGAATGTCCCTGTTTTCTTTGGAAACAGATTATCACATGGACTCTGCTTAGGAAATAGCTCCCTCTTCTGTTCTCGCTGAAACCAATCCAGTCCTCTGCAGGAAGAAATCTATTTCAAACCACTTACTACAGCAATGGAGCACTGGACCACAGTACGTTGCACAAAATGGTGCACTGGGGCAGTCCTTGTTCAGTCCAGCTTCTACGTTTCTACTTCCTCCACAATTACTGCATAAGGTTGGGAAGTGTCAGCACGTCCAACTACAGCTGAGTGAAGTTAGCACAAGACATTTCTTGGTCAGACGCAGTCTTCCCAAAGAATTTTAACCAGTCCAATATGCCTTTGACACTCATAAATAATGTACTATATATTCACTGATTATCAGATACCAGGAATACGCTTACTCTTCTCAGCTTTGTTGGGGAGCTGTCAAAAGCCTGCTGAAGCTGTATTGTCTACCTCAATTAATGCTGAGCGTGAAGTAATAAACCATCCTGAAACTGGAAAGGATCATAGAATCATAGACTGCTTTGGGTTGGCAGGGACCTTAAAGACCATCTAGTTCCAACCCCCTGCCATGGGCAGGGACACCTTCCACTAGACCAGGTTGCCCAAAGCCCCATCCAACCTGGCCTTGAACACTGCTAGGGATGGGGCATCCACAACCTCTCTGGGCAACCTGTTCATGTGATGGGTTAGCACTACCTTACACAATCTGTCAAGCTATATGAAACAAGAGTTGTATGGAGTCAGACCCTGTTGCTTTTGCTTCCACAGTGACTTACGAGCTGGCTCTCTGCATCCACACGGAGTCATGAAAGGCCTAATAAATCCTTCTGGAAGCAAAATATCAAAGGTGGATCTGCAGGCACCAACGAGTTCCAGTTCAGCAACAGGTGGACTTGTATTACCTGGGTTCAGCCATTATCTGACATAGCTCGGCTTTCTAGTACATTACATAATGGAGAACTGACCTCTTGTGGGTTTTAAGACTTAAGACTGTAGTACTTTGGCCCGTTACTCAATAATCTTTTACAAATGAAGTTAGCTAACACAGATAAGTAACTGCATAATGCTGGTGGCTATTTTCAGTCACTTTTTGGTTCCAGACAGGAAGCAAGTGCCACTCCTGGACCATGTGCAGCTCCAGTAGATCCCCAGTTTGTGAACTCCCACAGCCCATACCGTAAGTGTGGAGAAACCTAATATATCATTGCTTCCTCATGATCTCAACAGGGCCTTAACACACTGCATCTCAAGATTTATAAGAAATTAAACATGAAAACAAAATAGTAATAATAATTTTAAAAAAATCTGTGATTGCAGTTTTAGCATATTAATGAGGATTTTCAGCACTTAAAAAAAAGCAACAAACCTCGCTGGTGTTAAATTTAGTAAAACAAAAATACTACTTTATGGCCTGCAGAAAGGGTAATGGCATGTGCCTTAGTTTGTGGAGCAGTAGGTGATACAAACTTGAAAATATTTCTGCCAATAACACACACTCACTTCTAGCACTGGGAGCGCACCACAAGACCAACACTCAGGGTGCCAGAGCCCTATGTATGACTATATTATTGACCTGCTGTGTGACGTGTAGCATGCAGGTTTCTCTACCTGCTTCAGTTTTCCCATCTGTAGTATGGGCAGAGTGATAATCACCCCCTGCTTAAAGTTGTTGAAGAGCTGCTGACAGGAAGTGCTAGATAATGAGGCAGCAGTTTTTATTATGCAGATTTTATACATGCACAGACAGGGCACAGTTGCATTGCACTGCTCAAACCTAGAGCATCTTCAGCAGTTCAGAATTCCAGACTGGTTAAACTCTGATGGATGACTCAACCTGAAGCATTTCAAAACCCAACCCAAGTCACAGCCCCACTACAAAGCAAGCTTTGAGATGTGGCAGTCTGGGCCCTACTGCTTTAGCAACCCCCGAATAAATAAAATCCCATGCCTCCCACTCTTCTCAAATTCTGCACAGAAAAAAAAACCACCACAAAACAAACCAGAACAAATCAATTAAGAATATAAGACAAAGAAAGGCCAAAAATACATATTTGGAGGTCACAGAAGCAGGCTCTTCTAAACCTTTTCTATCAATGTGAAGCAATGCAGCACAATAAAAAAAAAATCTGAGCTAACTTTTGAATAAAATACTTTGAGACACAGGAGCTGTGTGGCTGCAGCATCATGAGGACGCTAACTGGGCTTAGTCTAAATACTGCAATGACACGGGCTGTCCTGCTTCAAAGACACAGCACAGTGTCTCTGCATGGTACAGCACTGTGCTGGTAGCTAAACCAGCCTGCTTGGGCATGGCTTCAGTATCTCAACACAGCAGTGCACTGAACCATGTGGACGTATGTGTACACTTGGCTGGTATTCCTTAATTTTATCCTCTGAGGTTTTCTGGATGTACTACTGCAATATTTAGAGGTAATCAACACTATTTCCTAAGGAGCAAGCAACATCTCCGTGGAACACTGTAGATGACCTTCACAGGTGGGAGTCACTTGTACTGCTTAGATGTCTAAATGGTCTAAGTCTGAACCTGTAACTAGCTCCCTTTTGAAGCAGTAAAGAGAAACCAGCACCTCTAGGTTCTCTCCACTGACCAAGAAAGGAGTCTTCAGTGGTTTGGGATGTCAAAAGTTAGTAAGTTAAATCTTAAAATTTCTCCACCTTTCAGTATCTTCACCTCTTCCAGCTTCTTCCCCTCAATGAAATCAGAAGGCATATCTCAGTCACTCCTAGTCCTCCATCAGATTTCCTCAATGTTTTAGTATAATATTCTTACAAATATTCTTACCTGTGGCCTGACAACCGACTCTCATTTTTCTTGAAGGATCTTTCTCTCTTCTCTCTTCCAGCCCCTGAATGTCTGTGAGGGCCGCTCACTTTAAGGCTTTTTTCACTTCTGTCTGTACCAAAGCTTGGAACTGATTTTCTTTCTTCTGTCTTGGTCCTCTCTCTTTCAGACAGCAGTTTGGCAAAAGAGTCATCTGTATCTTTGGGGATGTTTCTTAGTTTTTCAGAGGCTGAACTTGTGTGTGAGCTTGACATAGTCTTTGATGCAAACTCCTTACTTACTTGTGTTGAAGATCCTTTGCTTTCTTGAAGATCAGTGCTTGGGACACTCAGCTCATTTTCTTCATGTTCTTCACCCTTGAACTGTGCTGTGCTGCTTATGCTAGTGGATCGTTTTGGAAGCCTCCTTTTCTGCAGGTCCTAGAAGTAAGTGCCATTAAAACCATAGATTAAAATTTGAGCATCTTTAAATAAACATGAAGAGAAAAGGAAAGCTCTGTCGCTAATTTCTGAGCTAAGTAATTTGTTTGTTATTAGGAATCAGGTTATATAGTAAATCAGATTAAAAAAAATGATAATATATGACAGGCATACATTTTCACTTAAAATTTGAACAGTATTAAAGATGCTATATACCATTAAAAACTGTTTTCTTTTACCCAAGAACGTCAACAAAATACCTCCTAAAAGCTTAATTCTGGGGTTGTACCCAACTCAGGAAACTAAGAAAGACTGCCCACTACAGGTATCTAGTTTCTATTTCCAATCAGAGATATTCAGAAAAATCCAACTAATTCATTTAACTTCCATATTCTCTTCAGTATTATCTAAATGGTATGCTTAAAATATTTCAATTTCTCATTATTACAAGCTTAATTTTACACAGGAGAAGTTCCTGTCTATATAAAAGCAGCAAGAGGGAAAAAAAAAGAGGCAAGAATTTTAGAACTGTGTTTTGAAAATACTTACTGATGGAATATGGTCTGACTGACCACTTTAGAAACATATTTCTAACCGAAAGTACTTTTCAGTTCCAAACTGCTACTGATTAAATATAGGGTTTGGGAAAAACCTGAGTTAAACAGATACCCATGGCTAAGAAAACTTTGAAAGCTGTAGATACTGCTAAGATGAAAAAGCAATTTTCCTAGGAAAATGGAAAATCCCATCTGTCAAGAGATATCAAGAATGGAAAAGATTTATAAAGCAATTCTGCAACCTAAGATCACAGACATGCAGGGGGTAGTTACAGGTAGTGGTGATATCTGAAACAGTTTGAATTTCTGAATTAACCAGAACCACTTCCCTAACTTACCACATATTTTCAGACTGCAGATTTAATGGATTAGCATGCAGAAGTCATTTTCACATTATTTGCAAATGACTTTATCGCAGAAGGTTAGATATAAAATCCATGGCCAAGCCAAATATTTTGTAAGTGTTGGAAATCACCTCTGGTGAACTTGCTACTGGTCCAGCCATCATTCCTCTGACAATGAGACCAGACCTGGGCCTTGGCTTCTCCTTCATGTTGGATTTCAGCTCCTCAGAAATCATTGCTGCTTTTAAATCTTCTTGACTATCTTTTAACTTCTTATCCCCATCAGAGGGTAAGTGGCTGTTGTGTATTGTCCCTGTGTGGCATTTTTCACTTTTGTGCTGATGTTTTCTGGATGGAAGGATTTTATCTAGTGGATTCTCAACATCATATCTATGAGGAAGAAAAAGGCAAAACTTCAAACAGCAAAAAAATGCACAATGAAATCAATGAAAACGTTTGCTTGGCTAATTAAAGCAGTGCTGTCAAATTAAGTTACTTATCTAGCAATAGTACTCACTGCTGCTTTTCACTTAAACATCTATATGTAGTTCTTCAGGACATTATTTCAGTATCATTATTATGTGTCACAATTGGTTATATGTGTAACACTTTAATCTTATGCTTACTTATTTTGATATGCACCATATCATAACAGAAAGCAAACTATATATATCATACCAAACAGGTCCTAAGCTACCACCAGCAGTTCCCATTCCTTCTTCATCTGCTTGGTTGGCAGATTGAAAATTTGTTAACACTTTTGCTAACATCCTCTGCTATCAGATAACTTAGACTGACTCTACTGATCCCTTTCACTCTTTGCTCAAATGTAGAACACTTACTTTAGTTCAAAAAGAAAGGTATTTTTGTATTTGGGCTTTTCCTTGATAACAGGCTGCTACACTGCTGTCATTTGACATCTTCCATATTCTTCAGCCTAGTCCTCCAGGAAGCAACACAAGGTGTAGTTCACTGTTTGCATCTGTTTTCCCACACATATATAATGCTATAAACAAGCTTTTCTGAAATGCAAGTGAGATTCACCTGGATCTGTGACTCCGTTTGTACAACACAATATGAATTTCTTCCTTAAAAATATCTTTTAACAAATCATGTTCTTACTAAAAAAAAAAAATCATCATTTGAGCCTGTAAGAGATCATGACAAGTCCCAATTTTCTTCATCAGGATCTGTTTCACTGTCTGCATAATATTACATCACTGTTAAATATAAGTACTTTTATTGAGTAGTTCCCACTTCACTGAGACCTCTTTTGTGTCAGCTGATAAATTCATATTCTGTGTAACCTGAAAATGATAGCTGCCTTTATGACAACTGTCCATGAACTTGTTTTTCACTCTAGGATGTTTTTGTCCATCCTATTTCATAGTAAAGCAATTCCTTGAGTTGAAGCATCTCGTATCACAAAAACATTCCTTTTATTTAACCAGTTAAAAATTGGTTTTTGAAGTAGCGTGTCTCTTGTTGTGAAGACAGGCTGCGTATGTAAACTGAAGGGAACATGATCAGTCTCTGGTAGCATTAGGAAATCTGAGGACTGTTACTCCTGACCTGGGACCATGTAACCCCTCATTGCCAAAGGGCACAGTGTGTCAGCTTAGAGACTGTTTTAACAGTTACAGACATTAAAAAAAACTTCAAGAGGTAAGTTAAAAAGAAAGAAGGCCCTTTAATAAGGAACCAGTGAAGAGTACCTGTCTAATTATACTCTCCACTCCTGAAAGCATTGTTAAAAATTATCCAGGTAGTTGAAATTAAAGCTAATTTCAGGCACTAGCTGGTTGACTTGGTAATGCCTGATTTTTCCTTGGCCAGAGGGGATGGAAATGGCTAGGAGGATCACAGAGCTGCGCTTTGCCATGGTGTTTCTCTCACCGGTTCATTTTGTGGTCTGAAATAGGACGTGGCTGAACCAAAGTGGCAACCTGCCCACATTAGTCCTTGTTATGGCAGCTTTGCAGCCTCCTCCTGCGGCCCTGCTGTGGAAACGCAGCCGAACCGCACGGCTGGGACAAGACCTGATCCAGGGGAAAAATGGAGCCACACATCCAGGAACGCCTACCTGTGTCTGAGGGTCAGATTCGCAGCTGGTTTCAAAAGAAAAATCAGTTACAAATACTGGTTTGTATCAGGACAGGCCCTGAAACCCACATTCCCCTGTCACACCCACTTGGCCCATTTTTCCTTCCTTGCACCTGCAGCCAACTTCGGCCTCCCCCACCTCAGGAAGGCGTAACTGGTGGGGTTGGTGCATACAAAGGCATGAAAATTGGTACAAAATCACACAGGATTTAGATGGAAACCTGCCCATCAACACAGGATTTTGCCCTCTCCAGAGCTGGCAGCTTTCAGTGTGTGGTTGGGTAACGTTTCCAAGCTCGTACACACAAAAGGTTGGGCATTTCTGGTTTTTGCTTTCCAATTTGCCTTTAATCTACCATTTTTGGCTCCCCCCCGCCTCACTGGCTGAGACAGCGAAGGGGAATACTTCAACCTTTGAGGGATGGTGCCCGTGCCATGTTGGCGAGGGGCCCTTCCTCACAACACCACACCATCCCCCCGCTCTCTGGTCGCCGACACATGTTGCTTCTGCCTGTGGGGCTTTACTTTGCCTCTTTGAATTTGTGCGTTCATGTATCTGTGGATAATGAGCGTTTATGTGTGTGCAGATGTATGTGTGGTGGGGGGGGGGAGGGAACGACTCAATAACAACACTGCGCATGTCTGTCCCGCCAGCGGAGGATTAGAACCATAGAGAACCCTCCAGTGTAAAGCAGAGCGGCCCCACAACGCACCACTTCCTGAGCAGTGAAGGGCCACTCTGGGCCAGCAGCCGAGCACTCACTTTGCCGCCCCCCCCCCCGCCTCGCGGGAGGGAAGCGCTCGGCTGCCAATACGCATGCGCACAGCGGGCTAGAGGTAGCTGCGGGCGGGGGGTGGGGCGTCGCCATTTTGTTGGGGATGGGGAGGATGGGTAGAGCGGTCTAGTAACTCTCTGGGTGCTCCTGTGCGCTGTCAGACGGGGGTGTTAGTGTATCCCTCTGTAGGAGGAAGCTTATTGCTGTAGTAAGAAAGGTGTGCAGGCACTGGAGAGGCTCGCAGGGGGAGTGGAGCAACTTGCAGTGTCTAGGGCAAGGGGAGACAATGAGGCAGGTACAAGGTCTGAGGTAGCATGAGGTGTGATAGTATCAGACAGAGGGAGAGAAGATCACTGACAACGTGCTAGAAGCTTCTGTAGCTGAAAAAGAGAAGCAGCTAATTCTTCTTTTGCACTGCCTCCTTTTCAAGTGTCACTTCTCAGCTGGTAGCATCAACTCAAAATCTTGGCTTTCTTCCCCTATAAGGAAGGAGTTGCTGGGGTTTTGCAAGCACTGATGCTCAGGCTTAGCTACTTGGAGCATGCTGTGTTCAGGATGAGGAATAAAATCAGATTAATTCCCTGAGAGTCAAGGCTGGGAAGGTGAATGACTCCTTTGTGCCCATTTTAAAAGTTCTGTACTGAAGCACAGTTGGGGCTGTTAACTCCACCTTGAGGCAGTAATAAATGCAATTGAAAGACTTGGTTACATGCTGTTTTCAGGTATTTTGCAAGATGGAAATAACCTATACTGTTAGTAACAATATTGAATTTAAGATAATAGACCTTGGTTTTGACATGTAAGGCATGAATATATGTGTAGTTTCAGTGCATGTGGTTAGTTTCTCATCAGACTGCTTCAATTTGAGTATTTCCAATTTACAACGCATAAAAGCTCAGATTTCTATGTGCTTCAGTGACTGAAAGATGTAATTGAGATTATCAATTGGTAGGGAACATAATATTTTTGAAGAGTGGCTTGCATAGGAGATTTTAATAATTGGAAATTTAAGCTATGTGTTACTAGGATAATTAATAAAAGGTAGTGTAGCTGAAGGTATAAATGATAATACTTTTAATGCTATTTCCGTTATTTAATTTAAAAAAAGTTACTAGACAGGCCAAAGAGAAAAATAAAACTGTACCTGTAGGCTTGAGTTTTGCTTTCATCAAGCACAGTGGCACTCCCACACACATGATCTTCATCCAAGAAGTCAGGTGGATGAGATGTTGAGCTCTTACTTTGAGGAACTGACAGAGCAGAACTTGAACTGATGCTTCTGGAAGTCCCACGGTGCTCAAGGAAGTAATTAGTAATAATTTCAAGAAGAGTTTTCAGTGGGTTCTCCTTGGCCTATCCAAAAAGAAAAAGTTCTCAGTGACTATTGAAACTCTTTGTTCATCTTGCTGCAGCCTAAAATAGGATATTCTTTTTACACTGTGCAGTAGCTGAACATACTAACTACATTCTAGAGTTAGCTGCTTATGGGTGTATCCCAGATGTGACTCTACAAACAATCCAGGAAACTGGAAAATGTCAGCTAGAGAATGTCAAGAGCTTCAAGGTGTTGCTGTGTTAAATGAAGTAAGGGTGATACAGAAAAAGCAACCTGTTACAGCCATTCCTTATTCTCATTGTACCTAAACATTGCACAGTATGGTAGCTGTGCTAGAATACACCTTTCCTGATGTTACCTGGTGAATGTCAGAAGAATGTAGAATGAACTGCAAGTGGTTTTAGTACCTGACTTCAGTATTTGGGGTTTATTTTATCAGAACTTGGTGAGAAGCATAGACTATAGAACTCTCTTGTGCTTGGGATAACTGGTAATTATAGGGCAACACCCCACCCCTCTTATTACACTGTTTCTCAAGAGTACTCTGGAAAAGTGTCCTGTGTACATGAGTATTTTGTTTAAAAAAAATAAAATTAAATTAAAAACACCACAGATGTTTAAGGCTTAAGTAGAAAATGCTACAATGTCTGCTTTAGTGATGCAACTACACTGGGAGATTTTTTGAAGTGACTTAATACAGGATTAGCATCATGCGGCTTACCAAAAGCATCATGGTGCCTTAAGTCATGAGTGAACTGGAAGTGGAAATTATCCATTGATGTCCCTGTCATCAAATATTGCTGTCTATATTGCATTTCAAAGAATAGTAAATGCTAGAAGTGTAATTTTATCTGCCAGGTCTTACAAAAAGTTGCAAATAGAAATGGGCATGTATGGGTACTTCCAAAATTGAATAATCTAGCCCTAATGATGGAAAAGGTGTTAAAGTGAGTAACTGCTCCTGGTTTATTGGATGTTGCAGTTTGTAACAAGGGTTCATGAACTGCCAGGTTCTCAGCTTCGTCCCATGAGCTGCAATCTCACCTAAATGTTAAGCTCTCCATTCCTCAGAGAACTGTCAGTGTGTCTGCAGCAACGCAGTACCAGACACAAGCTTGAGTTCTCTCCAGTTTGGACATACGCTACAGTCTTGATCTGGTTGGCCCAGTTTCATGGTATCTGATACCACATTTTGGGGAACACGATCTGTTTCCTTACCTTGTTCTGTTTGTACAAGGAGTGCAGATGTAGGACATTTCGAAGTTCATTCCTGTTATTGATGCTAAGTGCAGAACGTGGAAGCTCTCGGTCCATGGTAGTGATGGTTTTCTTCAAACCCTGCAAAGGAAAAGTGTCAGATTTTAGAGTACTTGAGACAGTACAACTTACTAAATCTTTTATTCTTGACTTTGTTGGATGTAATATGAAACTTCTGGATGGCAGTAATTATTAACAAGCTAACCTTTAGAACCTGTACTTTAATGGTACAGTTTTGCATTATTACAGCCCACAGATGTGAAAATAATTAAGGTGGCTATGTTGTCTGTGAGATGGAAATTACCGAACGTGAAAAAAAAAGACCTCCATTCAGGTGACTTCAGCTGCTGAATAGCTTCATAAGACTGACTGGTCTGTATGAGGCCCCTGCTAATACCTGGGCTTCTGGTTCAAATAGTTCCAGAAATACTGAGTTTACTTTTTCCATCAAGATGTGATACAGCTTTTCATATATGTGATTCTGACATGGGTAATTACAGAGTCTGAATATCAGGTGTATGCTATCTCTTGGTGGGTTCAGAACAGGTTTCAGAACCTTTATCATGAGTTGAAGTTACTCCGGTCAGTCTCAGGTTGGAAGTCAGTCAGATCTCCATGGCATCAGCTGGTTTGGGGTCTTCAGACTTCCTCAACTACTGTGAATCTGTAGTCTGCATACATGGGCGCTTCAGAGACAAAATGTATGGGCATCTCACTTTCTGGAGGGAGAGACTGATTGCTTGTGAAATGTCAGAGTCAGATCCCAAACTAATTTAAGTGGTACAACACCAGACCACCATTTTGAGAGAGAAAGTCCTGATTCCTTCTATGAAGGGTTATTGTTACAAGAAAGGATTTATTTTTCCGCAGATGGATTGTCTGGCTCAGATTTAGGGAACTGGGCAAGTTGTGATAAATAAAGGATCGTTACCACAGTTGGCTCTGATGTGTATTAAAGATTTGGGGGATGCAGGGGAACACTTGTGCAGAAGCACAAAGGATTATCAGTGCCCCTTGTTTTGACTCAAGAATATATAGTATGAAATAGATGTGGCAATTCAGGTATAAGTTACTATGGTAAGCTGTATGGTCTGTTTTACCAGCAGGACTTTCCATTTCTTTTTATGCTTTTATTCAATTTTACCTTTAAAGATATCCAACTCAGAAATGTAAATGTCTTTCATTTGAAAAATCTTTGCAATCAGTTGAGCTGACAGAATCGAGCCTCTCATACTTCTGGCAGTAAATGGCAAATAATGAATTCTGCATCTGAAATTCTGCTGGCAAATGTTTCAACTTTGTTCACAAACATTGAAAATGTGCATTTGGAGACTTGATGCAAAACAGAGGAAGAAAATTGAGGTCTGTGTAGCACTTAAGACAGTGGCTGTTTAATTTCTGATACAAGCTAACTCATTCCTGACACTGAAGGACCGACTGGGCTGGACATCAGCAGTATTTCCTTAGGATTTAACATAAATACAAGGTGGTAGGTACTTTCACCTGGAAATGTGAAGGTGCCTTTTCTTCTGCTCAATCCCACACTCCACACACCTATGTATAGTCCAAAGTTTCCTTTACAGCATTAACTTTGTGAAAAGTACAGTGGCCTCTTACCCCCCCTTCTCCCTGTCCCCTTTCCCCCAGATAAATCTGCTGTCTGCCAAGCTATTACTGAAAACCAGGAAAAAAAAAAAAATTACAAAAAAAAATTACCAGTTTCTCTAGAACCACTACCTTTTGCCTTTTTTTTTTTTTTAAATGTCCTGGGAAGTTTTATATGCCTTTTGTAAACACAAGGACAACAGCAAGATAGGTAATTAATGAGAAAAAAAAAAAGAAGAAACTGCTGAAAAGAAGAAGAATCTTGGGTTCTGCAGGCGCGTGTGGCTAAGAATCAGGCTTTCTCAAACGAGGAGGAAGCTGGCGTCCATAATCAGGAATAAAAAGGCATTGTGGGAAATGTAGTGCAGATACTTACCCAACAGGCTTGTTACGGTTCAGGTCTAGCTGCTCTAGGGCTAGAAGAAGTCCCCCCTCCCAGTATTCCTTAATCTTTTAGCACTTAACATTTTTAATGTGTCATTCTCATTTGTACTAGCGGGAGAAAATCGAGACGAGTTACCTTTCTACTGAGAAATTCTCTCACCAGTGATGCAGCCACTTCTTCCACAAAGGAGTTGTCCATTTTTTAGCCCAAAGTGTGCTTAGGGGGCGTATTCTTTACTCCATCTAACAAATCATTCAAGTCTGCCGGCATCGCAGCTCCTCGGTGCGGCTTTTCACCGCTGCGGTCCTGAAGCAGCAGCGGGTGGATGGCAGCGGCGGGGCTGTGGGCAGTCCGGTTGCTGGAGGGATGTTGCTGTGGAGACCGTGTCATCGGAAGGAGGGAGAACTCCTCCCCCTGGGAAGGAAGCCAGGGAGAGACCTAAAATTGAAAGGGCTAATGGTGTAACACTGCAGCAAGCATCTCGGTAATTGCTTTAAATAATAAAATTGGAGAAAGGGCTGTTCAAATCTAAGAGAGGGGACAGTTTTCTGGATGTTTTGTTTTGTTTTGTTGTTAAGAAGCATACATACTTATTTGCAATCTATTAACTCTTGTGGTAATGCAGCTTTTAACCATATATGTTTCTTTAGTCAAATTGCACTCTTGTACAAAACAAACAAAAAATGCAGCTGCTAAATTGACCTTAATCTCTCATACTGGCGATGTCTAGGGTGGGAGCATTCATCAACTGAATCTTCCTTTTCAGATTGCACCTATGCTAGCCAGTGATGCAATATGCTAACCGGAGGGATTGTGGTGAGCAATGCTTTGAGCTCGGGGATCTGATTTAGGTTGGAGAGGTCATATAACAGAGTACCCTGCTCAAAGCAGGGTATTCTCCCAGTACAGAGATTCCGCTGCCTAGGCAACCTCTTCCAATAACTGACCACTCTTGGGTGGATAAACTATTTTCCTTAGGTAGTTAAAATTTCCCTTGCTACAGCTTCTGACTGTTTCATCTTACCCCTTTAACTGTTGTGCCCTGTGAGGCGAGTATGGCTCTGTCTTTTCTTTAACCCACATTCAATAGTTCTATATAGCATCTAGACTCTCACCTGGTCTTTTTCTCTTTAGGCTGAGCAGACACTGCCCTCTCAGTTGCTCCTTGCATCTTGTGTGCTTCAGCCCCTTAATTGCCTTACTGGTACCTTGCTGTACTTGGTCAAATTCATTCATCATTCTCTTAAACTGAGTAGTGAGGGAAGAAAAATAAACCAGGGTATTCCATATGCAACCTCAGGAGTGCTTCACAGAGGGCCATTTTTGCTTTTACTAGGTGCCTTTGCTGTAAGTGCATCCTACTGACTCGTTTTCAGCTTGTCTGCCTGCTCCCCAAGATCCTTTTCTGCAAAGTTGCTTCCTTGCGTAACCAACAGTTAGGCTGTATTTTTGAGTGGGTTTTTCATTCTTACTGCAGGACTTTGCATTTGACCTTCACATCACCCACCAGTTTTTCCATATGCATGTGTAGCAGATCAAGCAGAGCACCCCTCTTCATCAACTCATCTATCCAGCACAACTTCAAAGCATTATTGTCAACACACTCCAGAAGTCTCTTGGTTGGTTGTGCCAGGCCACGTATCTCTTCCATGAGGTGTTGAGGTGCTTAAAGTCCTCCATGAGACGCAGGACCTGGTGACGGTGAAGCTTCTTCCAGTTCTCTGAAGAAGTGATCATTTCTTCTCGATGGAACAGACTCTGGCAGATCCCCACAGCAATGACTCTTTTGTTGACCTTCCTTTTGGTTCTGACCCATAAGCTCTTGGCTGGCCCATAATTTGTTGCATAGTAGATCTCTGCTTCAGGCTGCTGCTTTGCATACAGCACAGTTCTCCTCCCCCCTCTTACCTGCTTCTCTTTTCTTGAAATCCTGTATCCGTCCAGTCAGGTGAGCTATTTTTAGCCTCTTCCAGACCTGGTGTTTTGCTTACTTATGGGTTAGCTTTGTGTCCAGATGTATCAAATGGTGTACCCACAAGAATAAGTAGCTGGGTTTTGTATAATTTTACTTGGTAGGGTATTGGCTGAAATCTCAGCCTTAAGTCTGCCACGCGCGTATGTCGACTCTGACTGACAAAGGGTGGAACGTGGCTCACTGAATAAAACCCTACAGTGGAAGAATGGTCAGTGCAAATGGACAAGGGTGATGTGCCTATGAAGCTCAGAGGATAATGCAAAGAAACAGACTTTATCTCAACACAAAGAGAACTAGAGGGTGGACTTTGTTTCATATAAACAGCTATCAACAGTTGAGTGGATCAACTGGTGGTGTAAATGTTTCTCCCTGAGTGTGCATGTCTTTTGAGTTAGCCAGACCACCATAGGGGGAGTGTGTGCATGGCTCAGCCCAACACGGTGTAAAAGCTAAACATCTAGCAAAAGCATTCTGAAGAGAGCAACGGGCTTGACCTGGCTTCAACCCACATATTTCTTCCCAGTTACCAGGGATGCCCAGCGTCGTAACAATGAACATATTATAGAGACTAGTAATGGGGATCATACTGGTATTGTGATTGAACTGCATACTGCAATTGCTATATTTTGCTAAGTGTAACTTACATTTGTATTGTGGTGTGATGCTTTATATCACACTGCTAGATCAGAAATCCCATGTAATGTCAAATATATTCATATAAGTAAATTTGACATTAAACATTATACCCTTTACATGTGGAATATCTAAAAGAACCTGGTCAGACGGTATTGGACTCTGACAGGCTCTTGGAGAGCTGGAGGAAACAGTATTTTGCAAAAGTTTTGGTTAGTTTCTCCATATGTCTTTTGGGGACATCTGGGGAAAAGAAGATTGCCTTGTGCTGGAAATGAGCTATCACATGCCTTCAGGATATCGGGAGGTAATTTGCCAACAATTCAGTTAATCGGACATGCAAAGGGCCTGACTGTTGTGGTTGTCAATACCAGCTGTCTGCCATGCATTAACTTGCTGGCATTTTACATTGTCCTAGAACATGATGCAACATGCTAAATAATGCTTGCTATGATATAGGTGCCCCTGTCACTCCTTTCATTCCAGGAAACTGTATTCCAAAATGAAAGTGGAACATGATTTTGATAACAACAGTTTAGCAGTAAAGGTGCTATCCCGTGGGTCTAAAGACAGGGAGATCACATACCAAACTGCCATCATGGACAAAACAGATTCAACTTGGGGAAATTAATTTATTTTCAATTTAAAAAATAGAGTATGATGGTGAGAAACAAAAGTGAAAACATTCCCTCCACCCCTCATTCTTCCCAGGCTCAACTTCACTCCTTCATTCCTGACTCTTCTAAGTCCTTTCCGCTGAGTGACACGGGGGGATGGGGAATGGGGATTGCAGTCAATCCATAACAGCTTCTCTCTGCCACTCCTTCCTCTTCACACCTTTCCCCTGCCCTGGCATGGGGTTCTCCACGGGCTGCAGTGTGGATATGTGGTCTGGCATGGTCCTCTCCATGGGCTGCAGGGGAACCTCTACTCTGGTGCCTGGAGCACCTCCTACCCTTCCTTCTTTGCTGACCTTGGTGTCTGGAGGGTTGTTTCTCACCCTTTTTTTCCTTATCCTTCACGCTCTGCTGCACAACAGTTTTCCCTTTCTTAAATACGCTTTCACAGAGGCACCACTGGCTTCGCTGATGGGCTCAGCTGCGTCCTCCAGTCAGCCCATTATGGAGCCGTCTGGAACCAGCACTGTCCAGCATGGGGGCAGCCCCTGATCTCTTCTCACAGAGGCCACCTCTGCAGCCACTCTCCACTCTCCTGCTACCAACACCTTGCCATGTAAATGCGATACACTAATCACTGAAATGTCTGAAGGAATGGGGATAGTGTAATGTAATCACCGCTCAGTGACTGCAGCACAGCTCTGGCTGTGAAGCGTGTAGCACTGTTTAAAGACATTGCACAAAGTATTTTCAGCTACTTGAAATTACACGTTCTCTGCTGATTCCACATGGACCTGGTTTTATAGAGCAGGAAGAACTCCCTCCCCAATTCCTGGGGTTGGGGGGTAGGAAACCAGTATTGATCAGATGAGAGTAACAGACTGCAGAAGGAAGCCCTGCAGGTGGTAGTGCAGTGGGAAGCTGCAGGAGGCCTGTGGAGAACGTTATATGAAAAGTCTGGGTAGCGTGTAGGGGAAAAATCTAGGTACAGATAGTGAAATACAAAGGTAGTGTAATAAAATACAGTGACAAAGCTCAGACCTTAAGAGCTTTTCCTTCTGAATGTCTTACAGTCTTTTACTCTCCATTTCTCTTAGGAAAGATGGATGCTGTTACGCATTTACAAGAAGTCCAGCACTGTTTACCTGTAGCCAGCTTTTGGTACCTCAGTTTCCTTCCAAAAGAGGTAACAGCTCTTGGGAGTTAATTTTCCCAAAGTGAAATATAAGTGCCAGGAATGCCCTCTGGCGCCCGTAGGTCGGTATTGCAGAACCGAGAAAAGCTCTCGTCCATGCAGCCACCGACTTCGGTACAGGGAGGGTGACACTGGCACCCTCTGGTTGTTGCTGTTACTGTCCATTGCAGTGACAGTGTTCTCAGGGTTTCATTTAACGCTTACTAGTAAAAGTAAGTTGATTATAACCTGACAAAGAGATTACCTGGGGTGGTGATGCAGGGATTGATTTTCCCTGAAGTAACTCTTGGGGTGCTCCTAAAAGTGGGTATTCACGTGTGCTGTGACGCAAGGTCTCACCAGGACACAGAAAGCAATCTCAAATGAGATACAAACAGAAAGAAATTGGGAAACTGCATTACAGAGCTGGGGAAGGTTTACTATTAAGCTATGCCAAAGAATGGTGGGCTTCTGAAACAGACTTTCTGTAACAACGTTCTTATAATACTGATTTTATGAGTTTTACCTAACTAATCTATGCAAAGTGTCTCATTCTTAGTGTGTCCACTACAGTGGTTATAGTATACAGTGATCATAACTGTTACAGGGACTGGGTAGTTGTTGAGCACGTGGGACAGCATCTCTCCAGTATCCACATGTATTAAGAAGTACTCAGCAGGCTCAGTTAGGTCTAAAGCATTTGCTGCATTGGCATGTGGCAGATCTCTCAACATAGCCCCACTGCAAAATTAGGTGCCAATGACATGCTCCACCTCCCTGCAGCTCAAGGCAAGAACCCCTGGGGTCATGGGGTTCCTCAGCTGAATAAGGTTGCACCAGGCAGTGGGAAAGG